AAGTTTATTATTATTATCATCAGCATTATTATTGTATTATACCAGTGTCACTCTGCCTGTGTATTCGTGTATGAAATTCCGTTAAAATATAAAATAAAAATAACAAAAAACTGAGCTTCTGACAGTCTTTTAAAGTCCATGGTAGATGTACAAAATAAGAACGGGATAGTATATATTTTTTCCACCAAATTGATAATGCTTCACATTATTTTTAATAGAAATAAAAGGTATTACTCGATCATTATGATGTGGCCTTCTTGACTTCTATTATCATGAATATCATCTATGCACGGCATAGAGATCCAGTTTCTACCGGGATAGACAATAAATTTCATACTTTGTCCCAGATTTATTAGTACTGTGTCGGATTTACTGGCGAACAATTTATTTTCACTGAGAATATATTTTAATATCTTTTTTATTCATAGAGAAATAATAATCCTTAGACAATCTAAAATTGTTTAGAAATTTGTCAGGGACACCTTACCACAAGTCATATAAGCGTTCACATAAAAAATGTCGTCTGTTGTTGTTTTACTTGACATTGTTAGAAAACGAGATTGAATGTAAAGTAAGCCCTTGAATCCGTACAAAATTATATCAGCTCAATGTAATATATATCAGATTAACGGGACAGACAAATTATTTTCACACATTATGGATATTTTAGCAACTACATTTTTAATCAACCCCGTGGCCGTGCGATTTGCCGCTATGCTTAATTATTTATGTTTCATACATTATGTTACGTACATTGGCCGACAATTTCTTCATTTATAAAAAAGGCTAAATGTTGAGATATTCATAAAAGATGTACGGTAGATGAACGATACATGCATGTATTACGAGAAGTATGGGCCAGTATGGACCCACGGTGATAGGGCGATTACCACAACTTTTCCGCGCAACGTCAAAATATCTTACTTCTGTCCGAGACACCGTATATTTCTGTGGTACAAAATGGACAGCAAGCCTGTAACCGAGACGAAAACAGCATATAATTTGCTCAAGACAAGGTAAAATCATCATTTTTTTCTTTTTCATCGAATGTGCTATTTAATTTGAAACTTATTTATCTTTACTACATGCAAAATGCTTTATTAATTAAGTCAGGATAGTGAAAACATTTAGGGCATACTGAAAAAAGTCTTGCTTTGATTACGAAATATAACGTATTTCTAGTCCGTTCAGTTCATATAACTGGTCAAAATACAATATAACTATGTACATAATTGTCGTATGAACAAGTTACAATACATAAATAACCCGTTTTTTTGTATATTTGGTATGATTTTAATGTTTCCAAGTGTGTATTTTAAGGCACCGCACAACTTTGTCAATCATAAGATTAGGGCACCGCATTATTCCTCCTTAAAATCACCGCATTTTTTGTCTTTTTAGCACCGTTGATTTTTTATATTAATGTTTGCTTTCAGAAAAAGAAGACGTTCAAACCTATGTCTGAACAAGCCAAAGCAACGTGCGAAATTGGCAAAGCTGCAGATACTGCAGCAACTGGAGAGTGCCCAACTAAGTCTTCTGATATCATCAGTACGCCAATAGATCAGCGCCTCCCTGTATTTCAGGACGATATGCGTAACGCACCACATAAGAAAAAGAATATGAAGTCAAACGTTCGCAAAAGATTGTTTAAAAAAGCACATTGGAGACGATGAAGAGATTATGGAAATATTGCCCGGGTTCCTGCAAAAACTACACCATGAAAATTTGTGTTATGACTTTTGCAACTTTATCAAATTAGTATGCAATAAGAAATTCCCATTAACAAATAGTTCATTTCTTTTGTTTCTCGATGTTGTTTGATGGTATAGTCTGCCAAGATCTTCAATCTTTCCATGTGGGGTTTATCAGTTTGAATAAGTTCGAAAAGGAAAAGACATCCTTATCTATATATTGATACCATTGCATTTATCTAACTGGTAGTATTATTTTTACACAGATCACCTTCAGAAATTTTCCATAACATAACGTATGATATAACAGCAACATAACATAACAGCAAGTAAACAATCTGTCATCAAACTTTCATCAAATAAAAGTTATTATAAAACATATTTGTAAGATTATTGTATAATTCAAAAGAAGACGGTTCCAGTATTTATCGGTCTAACGGAAAAAGAATGCGGTGTTTGAATTCAGTGTTGTACGGTGCTCCAATATTCGGGTCAGTAGGGCCTTTTTTCAACAAATATTCCCTGAAATTTACGATAGAAACACACACTTTTGTATGGAACTTGAACTTAGGGTTAACAATAATAAATATTCGAGCTCGTTAGGTCACAGAACAAAGACATCGTCGTTATAACACATGTTTTGTGACAAGTACGAGTCATGTTGAGGTACACACGATCATTTGTAAACACTATTTCTTCGAAGTATGTGTTTTTGTGTGAATTGTAATGTGCTAGATTAACAATAAATTGTCTCAACAATTCGATAGAATACTTAAACAATTGGAATAATCTTGCAATGTCCAGCAGTAAGATATTTTGTAAGCTATTACCTGGAATTTGTTTATCCCGCCATTAAAATATTGTGTCCAGAAATATACGGTGTCTCGGTCAGAAGGATGATATTTTGACGTTGCGCGGAAAAGTTGTGGTAATCGCCCTATCACCGTGGGACCTGTAATTCACGGATATATGGAACTACCGATTTCCCTCATTGATGCCTCAACAGGGGGCGGAGCGTTATCGATAATCGACAAGTTACGCGAATAGCAGATACAAATAGTATAGGTACCGTTTTAAATCGTTTAAAAACACATTTTTGGACTAACTGCTTCGAAAATTAAATCACGAATGTGTTCAGAAAAGGTTGATAAATCTACTTAGCAAAAAATCTCATTTTAGGTATTTTCAGTGATTATTGACTCCGTTGTCACCTTAAACTTAGCCATTATTTTTTAATGGATTGTCTTCAATCTTGGACACCACAATTCTTTGGACAAGACCATTAAGAAGACCAGATTGAAGTTGACATTGGTTCAGGTTCATGAATTATATTGACCTTCAAGTTCAAATGTATAAACTTTGATTTTGAATTTTTATTTTCTTCAAACTTGTTGGATAAGACATACAAGAAAATCATACTCAATATCTCATTGACTCTTAAATGTTTATTTTTTTACTTTGATTTTTACAATGCATCAGCACAGTGAAGGTCATAATATAGTTACTGTCCGGCATGACTGGTACAGTCAACAACCTTGACTACTCTGTCACAGACACTCCTTCTGACAAGACAATCAAGAAGATTACATGGAATTAAATTGAATTTAACTTTTGACATATTGTTTTTGCCTTCGCCACCTGTCCGTCCGTTGGTCAACCTACTGGTGGAATTTCTACCAAACTTTACAGGAGTGATCAATTCCATTCGTAGTTATGCACATCACTGACATGTTACGTACGAATCGCTGCTAATAATTGCCATCAGAGCTAAAAATAGTAAAATCTTGTCCGACCTTCACAGGTCAAACTACAGTCGGGATTTCAACCAAACTTTACACTACCATCCCTAGTTGTACACATTGCCTGCAAGTTCAATTTCACTGCACAAAATGGCCGCCACAGATTAAAATAGAAAAATCTTGTTCACAAGTCAAACTACTGGTGGAATTTCAACCAAACTTAATAGGAGTGATCAGTACTATCCTTTGTTGTGCATATCGCCAGCAAGTTTAACTTTGCTGCACAAAATGGCTATCAGAGCTATAAATATAAAAGTATTGGCTGGCTTTCACATATAGACCTGCTGGTTAGATTTCAATGAAACTTCACAGGAGTGAATAGTTTCATCCCTGTTCCGCTTTACTGCACAAAATGGCCCCCAGGGTTAAAAATAGAAATGCCTTATCACTTTCAAATTGAGTGCTGGATTTCTGCCAAATTCAAAGGAGTGATCAGAACCATACACAGTTTTAGAAGACATATGTTTTTGTGACAAAAACCCTTCAAGTTCATATATTATATGGCCTTTATCTTTATTTGATAATCTTTGAAATAAGCTAGAATTGTCATTACTTTGTTATTTTTTACAGATTCATGCTTGGACAAACAAACACAAAACCAACATGTTGAATTATTCTGATATAACTTTGACCTTTAACTGACTATTACCTCCAAGGTTAAACAATTTAATTTGCTCACATTGTAATAACTGCTTTTTGTCTATGATTTGATCCATTCTTTGACAAAAGAACACTTATCATTCAACTTTATCATTTACTTAACTGTGTTGACAGTCAAATTCACATTTGAAATTTACTTTATACATTAATATTATGTTTTCTAGGAGTACTCTTATAGGTACTACAATATTCTCAAACTGATGTGTTTAAAGAGAAGAGCATGGCCCAAGCTAGGTAGTGGCTCTTGTTTTCAATGCCAACTACATTATATGTATCCATTCCAATTAACATTCTCACATGTTTTATTTATTGCGCTTGAAAGGTTTCTACAAAAAAATAAGTTTGTTCTTACAGTTCTGGTTTAATTTTAGAAATATTTTATAGACAGTACAATTTTCTGTTTATTTTCTATTGCATAATCATTTTTTTGGATAAATATAGTAAGTACACTGATTTATGTCTTATACACTCACATATGGAAGTCCTTCACATGAAAACTGGTTGAAAGAAAAATTTAGATAAACTTGAACAACTATAGTTTCCCAACAAATTCCAATGTCATATTTTGAAATGTTTATTCATGATATATATGATATCAATTATGCATTTAGCCTGGGTTTGTAAGTATGCTCTTGGTACATGATTTTCAATTTTGACAAGAGTTTGGAGGCAATAATTTTATATTGTATACAAAAAGGGCACTTATTCTTTTTTGAAAATAGGAATGATATCAGCTTTGAACACCTGAAATAGATTGCTCTACAAATCTAGAACTTTAAAGTTAGTTTTGTATGCAACATATTGCGCCATTATCAGTGCTTTCAGCACTTTGATTATTTACATTTTAGGTGAATTTTTTGCAAATTGTTGAGGGTATTTATAAAGTTGGTGGATATTCCTTGAATGCTACGGATGTAGTCACCATATTTTCCATTGGCTATTTCATTTACACCGACACTGTGCTCAGTAAACACTTAAACAGGTAAGCATTGAAAAACAAAATAATTGAGGCGGGGGAGGGGGATGGGGTTTGAAAAGTAAAATATTTTAGATCAAACATCACATAGACAGGTCATTCTTTAAATTAATTATGTTTTAAATAAAAGCAAATTAACGCGATGTACATATATGAGAACATGACAGTAGTGAAAATGTTCCATAAAAATGATTGTCGTCATTTGAGCCATATCAATATTTCCTTTTTTTTTCTTTAAACTTTAATGGTGATACACTTTACTCATCAAATTTATTTTACAAACCAAAATATAAAAGTAAATTAGCACAGAGTACATATACTCTAAAGTATGATAAAACATTGCTTAAATAAAGTTAACATTTATACTTTCAGTGTTGTTGCTAATTATATTGTGACCAAGGTTGTTATGACACAAGTTAACTTTCTGCCACAAATCTATAAAGATATTACTGAGCGATTCCTAGAAGTAAGTGGAATATTTTCATCGATATCATATTTAACAATTTACTCTAGTTTTCATTCAGAGTAGAAGAACTGTCGAACATTATCTTTTAATGTATTATATATTTATATTAACATAATTATTTATTAAGCTCCAATGTGAAACAAGTTCTTGCAACTTAAAATAATCACTTTCGAGTCCGCTTCCAACCAGTACTGGTGTCATATGAAGAAACATGGTCGTTACCCGAGTAGTATCATATAATAATGCATTAGGATCAACTAACAGCAATTCATTTTACAGGCTTCTGGACAAACGAGTTACTCTGCCTCAACTAGACTTGATTATTGTGTTTATATGTTGAGAGACAGGATGCCTGACGTTATAACTCGACTCTTCGCAAAGGAAGCCTTTTTTGAAAAGGACCGACGCTACGTAATACTACATTTATATATTTTACTCAATTATTACCAAAAATGTGTTTGTTACAAGAAATACGTAACAGAGTTAAGTTATGAATCGAATTACAGGCATTACATAAATACCAATCAAACTCGACGCAAGCATCTGTGATATTTACATGTGATTCGATTAATTCAAATTATCAAAAAACATATACATATTTATTAACAATACAGATTTCAATTTTTACCTGTGTTTATGATGTAAATTGAACAGTCAAATTAATGGGATGTAAACAGAAACAGTTATCTTATCAAATAACAAAGTAAATTAATACACAATAACAAACACATAATTTGCATGGATGTGAACTGGAGAGCAACGTATTCGTAGGTCTTGTCTTTGCAAGAAAAGATTCACAGAAAGCTTTTCATTCAAATTTATCAAACAATTTCATATCATTGCAGGTCTTGGAGCTGGTAGAGGATATGAAGAAATCCTTTAAGAAAATTATAGATGCGACTATTTGGATGTCCAACTTCACCAAGCGTGCTTCAAAAGAAAAAGTAAAATAGTTGTTATCTCAAAAACTAGACAGAAAGGTTTCATAATTTGAAGGGATTTTTAACGATTGGTAGTTTTGGACATAACCAAAACATTTTTTTTATACAATACTGCAAAATTTGGCAAATGCATGTGAATGTCCTTATGGACAACAAATCAACATTATAAGGACAAATTCACATAATAACTATATTGCCGGGGCTTTCCAAATCAAAGAATGATGTGAAAAAAGAAGGCCAACAGTGTTGGATTTCATTTTTCCTGGCGTTGCATTCCTATATCATAAAAATGTGCAAGGAGATCTATGCATAGCTGTTTGTTTATAATAACATGAGCTTGACTTGTTTGAAGTATTTCTTTATGTTATGCTATATAGTTAGATATCTAATGCAATTCTAAAAATGATTCCTGAACAGATTGATAAAATGGGAGTGGAAGTAGGTTACCCAGAAGAAATATATAACGATGCGCTTTTAAACTCAGTTCATAAGCAAGTAAGTGTTTCAAGAGTTCTATAATTATTCTATTTGTCACCATGTTTTGTAATGTTTGCATTTATTTAGCACAAGGTGAGCTTTTGTAATCACAATTAGTTCAGCGTCCTTGCATCCGTGCGTCAGTGAATCTGTCGTCGTCATTGTTAACGACTTCTAAATTGAAATCGCTAAAACAAAAGTAATGCAATATTTTTGCAATGTTCCAAGCATAGAGCTATAGTAAAACTGTTCAAATGTTAGATGTCCAATTAAATTTTTTGGTAGGTAAAAAGGGTCAAAATATCTTCAAATAATTAAATCTTGGAAACTCGTCTCTGAAAGTGCATTGCCTAGAGCTTATATGATATGTTTCATGCATCGTGTTATCAAAAAATCCTTCAAATTATTGTATTGTGGTAAAAATCGTCCCCGAAAAAGGTGATTATGGCTTTTCAATATACAGCTATCCTTTTATTCTTGAAAACTGCAAAGGTTATATTTAAAATGTTTATCATGAAGGATTTTCTACTTGACATGCACTGTAGCCTTTGAGAATAAATTTATCTCGCCCTGGGGATCATGCGTTTTCTTTACATGTTTATAGTAAAACCTCGAAAACAAATCATCTTCTCGAAAACGGTGGACCTCTTCAAGTTTGTTCAAATCACAACACTAGGTTCTAAATTTGTCCCTACCTTGGGCGGTCACTGATTTTCCTTTTAAATTGTATGTATGTAGAAAAGCTTATTTCCTTTTTTAACCATGACGACTATAGCTTAGATAGTAAGTATGAAATATGTGTAATGGATCTCTACCAAATGTTTTCATTTTTTTAGCACTGGGATCTAAATTTGCCCTGAATGTCATGGATTTCCCTCATATGTATATAAAAAGTACAGACATGAAAATTGCTTCTTCTCTACGTCAAACCAATGACGGCTATATCTAAGATCTTTGGAATTGAAACATTGTCTAGTGAACCTCTGCCGAGATGATTTAAATTTCCCTGGGGTCCTATTTGGCCACGCCCTAAGAGGTCATGTATGTTTATTACATGTTTATTGAAAAAATGTCTTAGATAAATGGCATGATACATTTTATCGTTGTCCTCTTCCGAATTGTTGTAATTATAGTCCTTCCTGAGGCCCAGAATTTCTAAAGAGACTATTGACTTTCCGAAGCAACTACTGAATTTTTAATAGCGGCCAGTAACTTCCATAACAACCATTTATTTTTTATTGCAACCATTGACTTTTCATAGAAAGTAGTGAATTCTTCATCAAACAGATACTTTTCACAGTAACCATTGACTTCCATAGCAACCATTGACTTTCCATAACATTTTTTGACTTTCTCCGGCAACAACTGACTTTCGTAGCAGCCATTTACTTTCCATAGAAACCACTGACTTTTCCTAGCAACCATTGACTTTCCATAGTAACTATTGAATTTTCATAACCATTGGTTTTCCTCAGCAACCAATGACTTTCCATAGCATCAATTGACCGTCATTAGCAACCAGTGACTTTCCATAGCAACCATTGACTTTCATATGACAAGGGATTTCCATAGCACTAAGTGATTTTCCATAGCAGTCACTGACTTTTCTAAGCAGCAAGTGACTATAACAAACTTTAATTCCATTGCAACCAGTGACTTCCATAGCAACCATTGACTTTCAATAGCAACCAGTGCATTGCGTGCAACACATGATATTGTTGACCTCTAACACGTTTGTTAGAATTATATACCTGAGGCTAAACCATTTGCTTTCGTTAGCAACTATTGACTCTTCATAGCAACCAGTCATTTCCGTAGCAAATACGGAATTTCAATAGCAACCCTGGTTTTTCTTAGCAACTTTTGATTTCTACAAGTATTGACTAACGGATTTCAATATAATCCTTGAAACTTCAATTAGGATTTCGTTGTATACTTCAGTCAGGTGAGCGATAAAAGGGCAATCATTGCCCTCTTGTTTATGAAAACAGTGACATGTGTTCAATACACAGATAAACAGATTCAACTGTTATATGATAATAAAGCATGTACAACAAATACGCTTCAGTACGAAATATTATATCAAGTTTTAAGGGAGATCCCTTTGCAACTATAACCCCCTGCCTGCCTTAAAGTTATCGTGCCGGACTGTTGCAGGTCAAAGCTAACTTATTCATTTTTTTTAGTTTTCCATTACCCCTGAGAGTCCATTCACAACAGCCGTTAGCATGTCTAAAGCAGAAATGGTCCGCGAAGCACAATTACTGCGGGAACCTGTTTTTAAGGATCCGTAAGCTATTTACATGTTTATATATTATATTTAATATCATACATGTCATATAACAATAGCCTGAATTATGTGGTCTAATGCAGTGCAACGTATTGTTTGTTAAAGCGTTCTGATTATTATCAAATAATATTAAAGAAAGGATTCGTCACCAAATGATAGTAAATCGTTTACATACGTTCTTGAAGATCATTTGCAACGCTTTTTATGCTTGTTTGTTCATGCTTTTCTTATATTTTTTCGATTGTTTTAAAACAACGTATTTTCATGATGAAAATAAATATAATAGCTATCGTTATATTAAAAATATGTCTTATAAAACGCATAAAAAGGATATGTAATACTTGTTACTACAGTCGAACTTCGTTCGCTCGAACTCGAAGGGCATGTGCAAATTTGTTCGAGAGATCTGTAGTTCGAGCCAAGCGAGGTTAAACTATTATTACATAGAACATAGGCCTAAAGGTTTTCCAGCTTACATCGGTCAAATGATACATATGTCAATGTAATTGTTTGTTAGTACATCTGTTGGTCGAACACGTCATATTAAGAATTATTATATTATTGAAAAAAGTATTAATGGTACACTGTCTTAATCTATATTCATGTATATTGTAATTGGTTGAGTTCCATTGGGACTGATCATTATCCAAACTGCGAACAATGTTCAAAACATATTTCTATGTTTATTATGGGATGAATTTTATTTTAAACAATGATTTAAACAAATACATCTTTAAGCTACTTGTAGTCATTTACTTAACCAAACAAACGTACAAGCATCATTCTATAAATAGAGTACACTGTTACTGTTCACGGTACATGAACCACGGTTGTAATTAAAGCTGGCCGGGTAAACATAGTAATTATTTGACTTTTGCGCATTTCAGGAGTTATTTTCTTTCTATCGTTACTAAAGACGGCAAATGTACAATTTTATCATTACAAACAAATCGGTTACAACACCTTTTAATGTGTATCAATTAGCCATAAATGCCTTTGTCACCATCACGAGGTGTTAAAAACATGTGTCGCCGACAATCAATTATTTAGAACATGTCGACCCGCAACTTTTGCTGCTTGTGTTCGACCGAAAAGATGTTATTAACACTATACTGTTACTATATCAGGTTTGCGAGTTCGAGTGATGGGTGTTCGAGCGTTCCGAGGTAGAACAATATAATTATATTATATAGGAATTTTGCCGGGACTGAGCGAAGGGAGGTATTCGAGCGATCCGAGTTCGAGCGAAAGAAGTTAAACAGTATTTTAAGTCTTTGCTTTAATCTATTGAAATCAATCGTACTCGTACAGTCGTCAACCTGTTTTAACTCTTTCCTTCATTATAAACGATAACGAGTTTATATTCCAATTAAATGGTTTGCAAAGGAAGAGTATGCTATCACTTTCTTACTTGTCACGTATCCTTTATACTTAACTATCTAATTGATAAACATATCAACGACCATTTTTCAGATGGAAGGAATCACCATTAATTGTAAACGCCAGATACAGTCTAGACACAAATACCATTAGTAAGTATAAGTATGTTGGATTTTTGTTGTTGTTGTTTTTTTGTATAAAGTTTACTATCCTTCAAATTAAACATGTGGAAATGCAAGCCAAAAGATTTTTTTAAAGATAATTATCTGGACTTACCTAGTTTAATAGTATTGTGTAATGTTAAGTCAGTTTCTCGTGA